GGACGTAATCTTCGTTTGTACTGCTGTGATTGTGTTGTGTAATCACTCACAACCTCGTTAACGGTTGATTCCAAGGTTCCAAGGTTCCAAACTTTACACACCCTCCTGTCCAGTACGTTACGTACTGTACGTACCATGCACGAAGCGCCATTAAGCATTATCGCACATTCGGTACAGACTTCTCAGAGTAACCCAAGGATGTTCCACCGAATCACAAGACCTTACCCACGAGCTAATGTCCTCGAGACTATCGCACCTTCGCCAATCTAAAGGGAACGGAAGCCAGCAGTATTGGGGACATCCGGCTCTCTACATATAGGGTGCAACAGAATTGGCTCATCGAGTCCCCATTGTTACCAGCTCGGGGACCTGAAAACCGAGTAGACGGCGCAGCACATCTCGCTACCTGTGGCTAGCCTTTTGGTCGAGTCGTACAGATACTGCCAGTCTTGCAACGCAGCTCGCCGTTCCAAAACCAGTTTATCGGGATCTCATGCTCTTTCATTCCGATTTTTGAAATTATACCTCGGAACGGGTAGGCAGTTGGTCACCAACGATTCTTCCCGATGTCTAATATTCAAGGTGGATTAGAGTAAGCAGCCATGGTAAGCTTACTGCATAGGTTCTCACTTACTTCTAAGAACCACGAACATGTAGGTAGTGGTTTGCTTTGGTTTGCTTTGCCTCGTGGATGCCATATCCAGGAACGTTACAAAATCAAGGGGTAATACCCAATGAACACCATGAACACCATGAAAATCTCATATTCCTTTTATTCTATCAACACTGCATGGGTTTCAGTAAAAATTACTGCAGCCATCAATCATGGTCCCCACGCGATCGTAATCCTTCGACAAGGTTCTTATGAATCTTATCTGATTTCTCTTACCAACATCAGAAGTTTCCTCTGAAAAGTTGATAATATCTTACCAGAAAGCTGCGCCCCTTCTAAAAGAAAAGTCCTGGGTATTTGTGTGCAATCGCACGCCGATGAGTCTCAACATAGTAATTTGGATATGGCAAATTTATACGATAATATTGAAGCAAACATCATTTCATATCCGGATTTTCAAGATCGGTCTCGAGATTGGATTCTTATGGCCAACTGAATGAGGGGGTGGGTTTCAATCGGCCTATAGGGGGTTAACCACGAGGTTAATCGCAAGAAATGGTAATAACAACCCAGACTAGCCTGGAAAGCCTGAGGTCTAGGCCTATCGATGTCCTTCAAGCACCACCATCAATACTTTGTCAATACTTTTGGTGCTGCGTCATTTAGGATTTCTTGCAAGGTCCAGCATTCCAAGTGGTAGTTTCTATGATTTTTTTTCATGAATCTATAGCGAGTTCTCGCTATACGAATGCGATATTCACACAATCATACGATCATCGTTATATTCTCTTCCTTTACCCCCAACTGCAAGCGTGCATATTCCGTGTTTTGCCACTTATGACTTTATTTGCCTGTCTTATTTTTACCACGAGTGGTTAAGAACCACGATGACGATTGCTACCACCTCACTGCATGCTGAAGTCATTCATGCTAGACTTAAATGCAGCGCCCTCGAGAGCACTGTGTATGCAATAAGCTGCAAAAACAAATACTGAGCGGGGTTGATACCCCACGCTGGAGTCACATCTTTGGGCACTATACATGAAAATATTCTAGGATATCAATCCTCAACTCCGACAACTTGCATGTATTTTCTAAATCTGCTTGGATTATAAAGCTTCAATACTAAATTGGTCAGCGACAACATCACGATCAATACCACAGCCTGAGGAAATATGACCAGTCTACTGAAATTCCTCGGCTCGGAAGGCCCTTCATGAATCTTGAGTATTATGCTGTTATAGTACTGAAGAATCTCGGTGTGTCCAACAGTCCAGACCGCAGTCCAAAAATGAGAGATTTTGAATTCTTGAATTTTTTTAAAAGAATCATTTAAGTTATTAAATTATTAAATGTAGTTGGAATAATAAATCTATTAAACCATTTTGTTTATTTTCAAATATTTATTACTTTTCAAACATTGAAAACTTGGATCTGATCCGCTAGTCCGGACTATTGGATGCACTGCTTAAGATGCAACCTTGATCTATTCAATCCTAAAGAGCTCCCCCTGTATCTTGCATATATTGTTCTTATTCTCCTGCTTTCAAGCCTCAATATATCCACCCAGTATGTAAGCTCACATCACCTTTCGTTGGTTCTGTCAGCACTGCCTGTGATATATAGAACAAGCTTATGCCCAAAAAGAATCCACCAGGTTCTAAAGATAATACATCGCATTCTTCCCCTTTCTCAAACGATGATGGAGATTCCCATCATACCATTTTGGCTCCTCTTCTTACCATCTCGGATAAAATTGCCTTCACTGCTTCGTGCTGATTTCGCCGATGATCTCATGTCGTCCGGCCTTAAACTTCCACATTCACAATATAAAATCTTTTCTCTCGTGACTTTGCAAAACTAACCAATTTTTTGATTGAACCTTAACTATTATTTCTAAAGCTAGAATCAGCGAAGAAATAAAGGGATACCTAGGCATACACTTAAAAAAGGCGCAGTATAAGATAGTCCAATGCGCCCAATTAGGAATTCCTGAACCACTCCGGCATTTGTGGATCTTAATTCATTACATATTCTCTGCGCTGCGCTTAGAGTACCTTTAACACTTACTGTAAACCTCATATGCTCCGTATCATTCATAATAGTCTTAATGCATACGGAAACTTGAAGCAAAGCTAGAAGTTCGTGAAAACGTGGTTGACACGGGAGATCAAAGCGGGCAGATCATCATTTCTGTAAGTCCCCTAGCCCTGTCTGATTCACACGTTGATTTTGTGCATTCTTTATTAATGACTCGTATGTTCGCCACGGGATAGTAATCGTGCCGTGTGGTGAAACAAGTTAGTGTGTGGACTACCCGTCTCTAGTTCTCAAGCTAAAATGAACTTAAACTCATCCAGTCCTAATATCGACAGAGCTTTGAAAGTAGACTCTTTTACCTCGGGCATATTACCGAATTGAGGAACCAATCCGTTGTCAAATAGCTGTAGTTTCTTGTCTCGGATATATCCTCCGAGCTACGCATAGTCTCAAAGGCTAATAAGCTAAGGAATCTACTAAGGGTCGTGAAGAAATAGGAAACGAGTGATGCTAAGGATTAGTGAAAACTTTGACAGGTTGACATGATTCTTGGCCTTTCTACACTACTTGGAACTAAACAAGCGCGCGGAAGCCACATGAATACTAGACATAAGTATCTCCGGATATTTCAAATTAACAGTACTAAATGCTGTACGGCGAGGCACCAGAAGAACAAGTGATCTGCGTGGTAGTGAAGTGACTACCGATATTGTATATCTTTTGGGTGTGGAGAGGACCGAGAGGTTTTCGGTCACATGGTGCTGTTCGTTAGAGATCAGCACGCCATCTTATCGCCGAGACAATATCTTCGGGGAAGTCAAAGGCTGGCACGATGTTCTCATATCTCCATCTCGGAATTTGAAGTTTACTGGTGAATGCCTCTGGTGTGAGGTACAGGATTCTAGTCAAAGACTAAAAGCTGGGGAGGTGGAATAGGTACCGTACTTTTGTACTGTTCTTGTTATCAGTTGTGCGAAATGGCATCATTATCAGGCTGCTAATCAAATTTCTTGAGGTCAAGTAGACAGCTTGAAACGTGGTAGGTAGAAACAGCGCTATGCTGCGATGTGATCGTAAGTGCAGTTCCATTATCGATATAATATATTTTGGCAGCAACAACTAAAGATAAGGAAGGCATCGATCGTTTTGTTTCCTGTCTTGTGGGTACTGAGTGGGTATATTTCTCGAGTTTGTTCACTTGAGTTTGTTCAGCTTTTGTTGCATTTAGGATTGAGTAAGATCTGGGGTTTGCATTGGTTATCAATAAACATAAAATGAAAGATATTGGATAGGGAAAAAAAAGAGGGGAGATTGGAGGAAAGGGTTGATGGGAAATTCGATAGTATTATAACAAGATTCGAGGTTTGATTTTCCCTAAATGTACAGGAATGTTAGGGAAATAAAGATATATCTGTTGAATGAAAGACTCAACAATAGGATTGTCATGCCTAGGCCCCCGCCTAGTGAATGCCATGTAGCTATTCACGTGATCACCCTCTCTATTTAGACGGTGATTTTTCCTCTTCAGCATAGTTCTTTTATCTGATACATATCCTAGAACCCATTCCACATGCCCTTGGTGACGTGCCTGACAAGGATCGAGGAATCCAATTTATGAGATAAGTTCAATATACCTGTCACGATGCTGACGCATCGAGGGTGATATATAATGTATTGCTTGAAGAGCTTTACACCTATAAAGAGCGAAGCCCTTTATATGCGTGAGGTAGGTAGTACAGCCGTATGGCTGTACTACCTAGCGAATATAGATGCCTGATATCTCAGGCACTATTATAGGCCTACCGTAACAATACCAAACAAATTCAATAATCCGAACTGCAGTCCAACAATAATAGATTTTTGAATAGGTGAAAAAGGTCCATAAGGTCGGTAAGGTCCATAAGGTCGTAAGGTCCATAAGATCGTAAGGTTCATAAGGTCGTAAGGTCCATAAGGTCGTAAGGTTTATAAGGTTGTATCTAAGATCTATAAGTTTATTACAACCTTATAAAATATTAATAGGGTTTTATAAAATTAAAATATATCTTATCACAACTTATTTCGGGATCATTAACTTTATAGCCTTATCAAATTATAAAGTACATTATAAATCGATAAGGTTGTTGAAGTTAATGAAAATGAAGTTCCAATGAAATATCAAAAGCTTTTCGAATATTGGTATCATCTTGGATTTTGTCTACTGCTAGAAAGTGAATATAGTAAATGCTATTGATTATTCAGGTTGATCTTAGTATTCAAAAATTACGTACTTTTCCTCTCTTTTTGTTATTCCCTCAAAAAGAAAAGAAACCCCCATTCCATCAAGAACTTCTTGTGCAAAAAAATATTCCGAATCCGGGAATCGAACCCGGGGCTACTCGGATCAGTTCTTTACTGCTTCGAAAGAAGGAGGAGAGATATGAAAGCGAGTTATGTTAACCCCTACACTAATTCGGATTTTATTAACTGTTGTTGTTGTTGAAGAAGACCTGCTTGTTTGTGACTATACAGATCGGCAAATGAAAGTCGGAGGGAGGAGGGGAGAGTGGAAAGGAAGATATTTTATTATGGGGTGGAGGCGTTGTGGGGACTCAGGAGGGGGCAAAGGGGGGCGGGTGGCGAAGCGAGCAGTTGGGAGGGGCATGTAAGGGGCCAATGATAATTAAATAATTATCCAGCTGTATTTATTTTTCCAGCTGCTTTCTACCGATACTATACTATACTTTGTATATCTCATAATACTACCCAGGAGTAAATAACTCTCCCTCATATCTCCACCGAATAAGTTTCACCCTTCCAAGTTCTATGCAAGCATAAAGAACCTTAATATACGCCGTCAAAACCTCCGATGCACTCCCGGGCATCGCCAAGCAAACCCACGAGCATAGTGGACCCACCATATGGGATTCTCCCCTGTGGAGTGGAGTGGGGTGGGGTGGTGCGGAGAAGTAAAAAATAACTCCCCCACATACTTCGTACTAGATAAATATCAAACCCCACAGCAAAACGAAAACTTATCATCAGTACATCCTCTCACGCGATCACCAAAATATATTTCAATATTCTTAGCACTGATATTTACGCTTGAGAGAAGAGTGTTTAATTTTCAAATTTGTATCAAAAATATTAAAAAGGCTTTATCTGTTATGATCAAACCCGGACCCTACTTTGATACTATTCAGGATATTCTTTTACTTTCCGCTTCTTCATAAAGGCTTTCATATCGGTGGGGAGATGTGCCTACTAGATAGTAGCACTAGCATACATCCCCAGCCATATACCTATATTTTTCACACATCTCATGAGATTGGCATAACATCTTTGTGATGTCAAGATAATAGGACTCCCAGAGCCAGACCTTCTGTTTGAGAAGATCGTTATCTTGAAGAACCTAGAGATTGAGTAGAAAGAAAAAGTTAATATTAACCTCAAAGTTTATACATCACTATTGGAAGTCCTCGTCCTTGAAAAATACCTTGAAGATATTAGATTGTTGTTTAAAACAGTCTATGTATTGAAACGACAAACAGCTGCTTGTTTGTCAATTTTACCTTTACAAAAAAAGAGATTATGTGAGTTGAGCAAAGACAACCTGAATATGCAAATATAGATAGCAGAGACATCATTCTTCCATTCAACTTTGTTACTTTTTATTGATATATAGATATAAATTAGTTCTATATACACTAGCTTAGTCATCGAGCTAGGTTCTATGGAATCTCCAATTCCATAGAACTTAGCTCCTTACACAATAATACTATGTTCAATACTTTTGTTCTGTGGCAATTAGCAATGTATTTGGGTCTAACTTGAATTTTTCATATAGCTAAAGACTTCACCTTTCAATATCGTTACTCTCTTGATAGGTATTATTGCATTGCAAGTCAAGCAATACACAAGGCATGAGATGCTGCTGCTGCTTTCACCAATGTGAAGGATTTGCCAACCCATTAATTAAAGACAATATTGTAATTCTTAAGGATTTATCAATTCATTACATTTAGGGAAAACATGTTATCAGCCAGAAGGCTAGATTCTCAATATATCATATCTTCGAGATCTAGATTCCATCTTTTTGAGCGGGAGCTTTGTTTCTGAGTGATATATATATTCACAGGATGGCTAATGCGGCTCTGTATAAAATCAGATCAGCTTTACTTTTTAAGATTATAAATTATAGGCTACACATCATGAAATTGTATATTGTATTTAAAAACTTAACAAAGTTAATATTCACTAGAATTATACTATTCAAAACTTTTAGCAGATAATGAAGTTCACTTGAAAAGTACTTTAAGGAAGTAAAAAGGTTTAAAAATATATATAAAAGTAAAAAAGAAGTATTTAAAAGTAGTTACTATAAGTAAAACTTATACAGAAATTCTATATTTTAACATCAACCTTTGCTTCACAATGCGTAATATCATAAAATGGCAACAACTCCAGCTAGAAAATTGAAGATCGAAAAATATTCAAGATATTATTAATCCCATCTTTTATGTTTTATGAAGCACTCAGTCTTTCAACTTATCAAAATATTCAACGCTCATTAACAGAAGTGTACGTTCAGCATCCAGTAGAACTTGATGTCTATCTAAAATATCTGAACAATAACATGTATACAGTCCTTATGCGGACCTATAACTCTGGTAGGTAATGCCCTAGAGAATTTTCAAGAGATAATATAAAATAGGTAAAATGTCAAGAGTATGACTCCGGGCAGGTGTATGATATGGAAGCATAGGATTGGATTAAGGTAGTAGCAGTATTCTACTACTAATACCGCTGCCCCGGACGCAGGACGGACGCGGCCATACGCTACGCTACATAGTAACCGTCTCCAACAACATAAAAAGGGATTAGCAATATGATATGGATGATAGCACGGCGGTTTCCAATAGTCCAGATCGCAGTCTGACAATGAAAGACTTTTTGATTTTTGAATCCAATTAGAAGATTTATATCATTTGGAACATTGACTTCCTTTAGAATATTGAAACTCATCCATACATTGAAAGCTTAGATCTGGTCTGCTGGTCCAAACTATTGCACATCCTGGGACAGAGAAGTCCCTTGCACATTGTATCTATGCCATCGAGTCCGCATATCAATATTCCTAAGTTCAAGCATATGGCTCATAGCTTATAGCTGCGAATACTTCCTAGCTCATAAGGTTGTTCAAGTTGTGAAGACTTTTGCTGCATTGCATAACAAATAACACATCCCCCCCTCTGGCTACTAGAATGCTATTTGTTCAACTATCTTAATCCAGTAAATGAACGAATTAACTGCAGTTGGGAGTTTTGAAGAATGGTTTTCGGAGTATGTTCAATTCAAAAAATCCATTAAAGCATTATAATGATCCCTTATAATTTATTAGTCACCCTTTAACCTGCAGTAAATAACTAAAGAGCTTATTGATCGGTTCTAAAACCCCATTTAGAGTTAGAAAGAGTCATAAACACATTTCTATGGGCCCTTGGGGCAACGACATTGAGATACCATGTTTGCATTTCCAAGTTTCGGTCTATATCATGTTTGGATGTACCTTTCCGGATTCAAAACCCGGGATTTGACAGGGCAATCAAGAATCTAAGGGGTGGGCGACTTAGGTTTGGATTTATATAATTATGTTTTTCTGGGAGAAGGATGAGTACACGCAAGCTACAAAATAAATCGCACACCAAACTCACTCACTCTAGGTACTAAACTGATGAGCTAACCAAATGGCCTCTCGGGACTTAAGCTTTATAATACCTCTCAATGCTTCTACAGTATCCAAATTTGATAATCAAATGCTCTCTCCAGCATTAAAAGTACTCAAAAAGGCCTTTAAGCATGTACACAATGGATGATGCAATTGACATTTGCAAGATCACAAGCTTCGAGGAGGTTGATTTGAAAGATTTTATAGCTGTGTCGAGCTGATGGCAAGCTTCTTCTTTTGCATTGATCCGGATGGTGGCTAAATTGGTTGTTAACTGGAGGCAATCCTCGGTGATGGCGGTTTCTTCTAATGTCTATTGATTTGGAGAGCTTCAACGTTCAATTCGGAAGATCAAAATAACTAATTCATTGTCAACTTATTCTACTCTAACTATACAAAAATAATATACCCTCCCATTCCATTTAAAGATAGGTAGGTAGGTATCTAGCACTCACTCACTTAGACATTTGATCTGGAGAGCTTTAATTTTCAATTCGGAGGATCAGCACAACTAATTCATTCTACTTTATCTATACAATAAATATATACCCTCCCATTCCCTTTTAAAATAGGTAGATATCTAGCACTCACTCACTCACTCGCCAAAAAAAATTAGTCAACCTCGCCTAACCCCCCTCCGCCACCAAACCACCCAACACAACCCAATCTTCAAAACTCATTTAAAAAGCAACCACTCATTATTATTTTGCGCCGGTTCAAAATGCAAAACGATGATGCGTTCGCCGGGAATCGAACCCGGGGCCCATCGAGGTTGTAGCGCTCTTATCTGTGAAGATATGAAGCTGTTGGCAACGATGGATTTTACCACTAAACCACAAACGCTTGTGTTTTTGTTGGAGTAAACGCGAACGCTTGAATATATGATCGAATTAAATGATGGGCAGAGGGTAGTACAAGGTTTATTATTGGAAAGAAGAGAGCGGAGGGGAAAGAAGAAAACTTTTCATGATGAAAAGTGGAGAGATAGAGGGGTAGGGTGGGGGTAATACGAGATATGTGGGGGATTAAGCTGGTTTTCTGGAAAATCATATTATACCTATCTTATCGGAGGAGTTTGAATACAGTACATACGTACATAGAACAGTTGATGGTACATTGTCTGAGTAGGTATTATTGAAGGGAAGAATACGGTAAGTATTTGGTATTCTGAAAACAGGGCATCCAATAGTGCGAACTGGCCCATTAGATGTAAATTTTGAAAGTGTGAAAAAGCTAATATAGAACATTTATTAGTTATAATTTAACTTCTCAATTGAATTAAGAGGAGTAAGAAATCTTTCCTTATCGGATTTGCTGGAATATTAGAAAACTTGGGTATTCATTACTGCGTGGAATATTCAAAGCTAGATTCCATCTCTGGTCTCATGCAGTCTAACTGCCATGCTTATTATTGTCTACCACTCCGTGGAGCATTAAAATCTAGATTTATCTCTCATCTCGTGAAGCCTAATCACCATACCTACTCATTATTATCCACTGTCCAATATCCAATAACACAACTCCACTCCTCCCCACCAAATCTCCCAACTACCCACAACCCATCTATCCCCATCCATTCCCTCCCAAACGACTACCAAGATAGCCCCTAACAATCTCCTTCCATCATCCAACATCTAAAACCAAATACGGGGCTGTAACTCAGTGGTAGAGTGCCTCGTTTGCATCTTCAAGATTATCTTCCAGATCCTCTTGATAAACATCGATGAAGTCCAGGGTTCGACTCCCTGCCGCTCCAATTTAATTTTTTTTTTTTTTTTTGTCAAATCTATTGATGTTCTGTTTTGATATCATTTTTTTTTTTTTTTTTTTTTTTTTTT